GCTTACTTCCACTTCCTTTGTCCCCCAAGCAAAAATCAGAAACTGTAAAGATAATATAGAAAAAGAAAATTTTGACTGTCCAACTTAATTTGTATTTTAAGATTTAATAGGGCCAAATCGAGATTTTAAATTATAGAATGTTAGAGCCAAAAAAAGATTACTTGCACCTATCTAAAGCCCTACTAGACCCTGGGAAAACCCCTTTTACAAATGTGGAAATCAAAGCCTGAAGAAGCGAAACAAAATCACTCAGGGTTACAGAGCTGGCCAAGCAGAAGACAAACACAGCATCCGACTTCCGACCGAGTCGTCACTTCAAGGTGCTACATAGATTGGTTTCTTTTCAATGCAATCACGATTAATAAATTTAAAAGCAAACTTAAGGGACTTCCTCGGTAGTCCACTGGTTAGGACTCCACGCTTTCACTGCCAAGGGTGTGGGTTCCTGGTCAGGAAACTAAGATCCCACAAGCCATGCAGACCCCCCCCAAAAAAGCAAACTTAAGTTTATACTAAACCCAGCAGCTTCTTACATAAAGCATCATAATTTAGTTGTTAAAATCCAGACTCTGGGCCAGGCTCCAGTCTCCCCATTTCCAAGCTATATGACCTTGGCTGATTTAGATAAGCTCTCTTCACTCAGATTTCATCATATAGAATGAATATCATAAGCACTGACCTCAGACAACAGGTCTGAGAATAAAAAGACTCACTGCATGTAAAGCATGTAGGACAGAGCCTGGCCTGTGTTATGCATTCAACAAAGGTGATTAGAGACCATCCAGTCGGCCGGGATCCATTTCCTTCTTTCTTAGAATCTTAAACTCCTCACTCTGGGTCTGGTGCATCATCATCTCAACATCCCAGAGATGGCTGTTAAAGCTATAAAGTAATTACAGAAGCATACAGAGGCAGACAGAAATGAAAGTCACCCAGCATTATGCTCTCCAAAGGCCCATGCTGACACCAGCAAATGATGCAGTGGCCACGAAGGGCCAGTGCTGACTAAGACGGAGCATTTCATCAGCAACGTGGCCCTGCCTTGCAGTGAGAGGGGTGGGTAAGGGCCTGGCGGGCACCAGGCTGCACGCTTACAGGGAGAGGAACACTGCTCCCCAGTACCAACCACCGAGAGCAGAGAAGCCTCCCTGCACCTTTGTGCCTTCTCTTTAAGTAACTCAGACAACTGTGCCCCAGTCAGTTCAAACCACTCCCATGACAGCCCATGTGCCGGTCCATCATGGACACGAGGAAAATGGAGACCCTGCTTCACAAAGTCAGACATTCTTTGTACACCAGATGCCAAGACACTAATTCTCTGTGACCAGTAACACGCAAACAGGTATACTTTCATACTGAGCACAAGCTGTATATTCATTCCAGAATGCAAAGATCAACAAAATACAGAACTGTATGTATTATGGTGTTAACTCTTAAATTCCACTATAGTTTAATTATTAACCTAAACATACACATTACAGTAGCAGCTTGTACTCTTTTAAAAAAAAATGAACAAAACAGCTCTAATTTATTTCCACATTCATAACTACTTAACTATAGTAACAGGACTAGATTGACTTTGCTGTCATAATGACTAGCGTTTAAAAGATTTTTCTAAATCAATTATTTTCACAGCCAATGCAAAATATTTGCTAAAAAGGACAAAATCTTTTCAGAGCCATTTCCTCTGGGAAACAATATGGAATGCTAATATTTTGGAAACCAGAGACCCGCTAGTTTGAGATTCTGGATGCCTTTCCAAAAGAGACACATAAGAATAACTGTTACTCCCTTCTCTTACTTAAAACAAGGGCTTGAAAAATATTACATCTAAAGGCATTAAGCAGGCTTCTCTGGCGGTCGAATGGTTAGGAACCTGCCTGCCAACGCAGGGGACGTGGGTTTGATCCCCGGTCTTGGAAGATCCCACATACCACGGGGCAGTGAAGCCCCTACTGAGTCTGTGACCCCTAGAGCCCACGCTCTGTAACAAGAGAAGCCACTGGAATAAGACTCCTGAGCACCGCAACTAGAGATAGCCCACATGCAGCAGCAAAGACCCAGCACATCCAAAAATAAATAAACGCACTAAGCAAGAGACTGGACTTTCCACAGTGTGTAGATATCAAACTGCAAACTGTATTAGAGCTGCAGCCTATAATGACTGTGAGCCAAAATACATTTGCTGCTGACCAAAACAGCTTGAAGCATTTTTTAACAGATTCTTCATTTCCCTGGAGATGCATACAACCATTAAAAAGAGATTACCCATAGATCTCTAAAAGCATGTACACATGGGTATTAACTGCAGTGTAGTGTGTAACAGTAAATAAGTGGAGATAATCTAAATATCCCTAAAGAGAAGAATGATTAAACTGTGCTACATCCAGACAAGAAATTCCATTTGGTGGCTAGAAAGAATGAGGTAGATTCTCTAGGCACTGACATAGAAAGATAATTATAATATACTGGGAACTAAAAACACAGGAACAATGTTTCTTATGGGCCACCTTTTGAAAAAAGATCTTAAAAATATTTTTATTCTATATATCAATTTACATATTGTTCTATGATTTTTTCCTGCTATATATATGTTTAAGAATGCAAAAAAGTCTATAAATGACACTAAACCCCACCTCTGCAGAGGGTACTCGGAGGGTAGACTTTATATACTTTGTTACATAACTTTTTTTAAACTAAGAAGCATGTTCTACATTTTGCAATTGTTAAGCAATTGTTAAGTAAAAAATTAACTTAATAAAACTAATAAAACTAATTTTACATTTAATTGAACATCAGATGTGCCTTCAAGTTTCTCTCTTATCGCCATAAAATATACCTTTCTTTGCATCAACAATACATTTTTTCAGTCATGTGAGCTCTCACACTCCCACATTTAATAGAAAGTTATTTCCTTCAAATGCACATAGATTCTAGACATCTTGAGATGTAAAGTACTGTGGTATCACTAAAAAATGACCTGAAATCAGATGGTTTAAAAATAGATCCAAGTAGGGATCTTGTTCACTGCGACATTATTCGTCTTCTGTCAAAGACATCGCCTCCACACTCCTTCTCTACCTCCACCAGCACCACAGAGAGGTTAGTCAGGTTTCTTTTCCCATAAACAAAGGTTTTTCCTCCCTTCAACCATGAGAACTTGCAGGCCCTTCAGTTTCCCACCAAGAACCCTTCTCGGCAGCAACTTCTGCAAAAACCCAGGTACCTATTGTAGGAAATTATGGACAATCATAGAATACCTTTCTATTCCATCCTCTAGGTTCCACTGAGTAATTAAGCATTAAAACTTAAACTTATGAATCACAGAGCCTCAAAAATGAAGCATCAGATACTTAAGTTTTCATCAAATAATAGAGAAATTCTTTAAGAAAGACACACTCTGATGGTCATTCTAGAAAGACATCCTTATGACTGGTGAGTCCAGTCCCAGATGCTGCTGCAATGGAAGAAAATATGATCAAACAGACCCAATAGCACTAACAGCAGTGAACACTGGCATGAATGTCATATTTCTTTTTATACTTGTATATTCTAAAGATTTTATAACAAACACATATGTGGTATGTAGAAAGTTTTTTCAAGGGTCTTAAAAAGATACTGGTTAAGACCCCGGTCAAGCTGACAAACCACACGAAGAAACAAATGCTCTGGGTCTCCACCAGATTCTCCCAGGGAAACTTTGAAAACACTGCTGGCATCTTGGAAATGAGGAGAAACATTACCTCTCCTGGGAGAACTTTGACTCCCTGAGCTGAGCTAATTGTTCACTTTTCCATATTCCCCCAGCACTCTGTTCTACCACTATTACCATATCAAACATATTATTTCTACACTGAGATTCTTGATTTGCAGGTAGCATTCCCCCCACACTGAAAACTACAAGCCCCTCCAGGATGCAGAATATAACATGCTGATTTTTGTGGTCCCAAGACAGTGCTTGAAATATCAGAAGAGTCCTCATTGCAAATTTACTTCAATATTTAGTTAAGTACCTATGATAAATGAGAACATACTGAAGTCCGCTAGAGGTACATACCCATCGTGGGCTTCACAGGTTAACTCCTGTGTGACTGGGAGCAAACCCACCCAACAATAGCCCCCGACACCCACATTTTCCAATGTCATCACGATGGTAACAAGAACAGACCTGTAACTGTCAGTAAACAAGCAGACTCAGAAAGAAGGCAAAAAAAAAAAAAAGAGGCAGAAGAGATTCTCTGTCTCGTAATGAAATGGGAAGCACCCTCCTTTGAACAGGGGTCTCTAGGTTATGGGTAATGTCATACTTCTAATGATGGTGCTGGGTAGAGAAAGTTTTACTTTCTTCTCTACAGACCTTTCACAGGTTATAAAAATTCTTTTCCACGATTCAATAGTCACTGAAACCAATACAAATTTTCAAAAGAATTCCCTTTGTTCACTGATTTAATAAACACACTTTAAACATCTACTGTGTGCCAAGCGCTATGTTCTGGGAAAGTTCAGACATGCACCAGTCACAGTATGTACCTTGAGGGGTTTGCAGTCAAACATGGGAGACACATACAACACAATAGGATGCTACTTATAATAGGTTTCCTCATTTTATGGGAACCCAGGAAAAAATGGTCTAACCCGTCATTCTCACTGCTTCTCATTCCACAAGGGAATGAGGAAAATCTTAAGACGATACATATGAGGAAGGAAAAACAAATTGCAACCAAACACACAGCTCAGGACTCTGCAACCAGCACGTTGTTAAAAGTGATGACAAACACATCAAGCCATCTCAGGCATAAACACTGGTTCCTTTTGTTTATTTTTCCTTCTTCTCATGCGTTTTATTATCTGAAGAACGATCTGCAGCATCTACTATGCAGAATCCCCCAGAGTTAAAAATATATATATTTTAAAATATGAGTCAGCTTAAGCTCTATCTTCATGTGAAGCCGCCGAGGGTAAGCGCCCACATGCTGAATGCCATCCCTCCATCTGCTTACCACGTGTGTTGGTGGCCATGTCAGCCACTTTCTGAAAGGCGTCCAAGAAGGCAGCTGCTGCTACTACTGTTGTCCTAAAATGCAAACAGATAACAAAAGCATGAGGAATGTCTCACACCAGCACATGCCTGATAGCAAAAGGAATGGAATCTCTGCCAGGGACTGAAAGTCACCCTCCAAGAGGGAAAACCTGACTGGATACAGACAACCATCAGCTTCATGGACACTTTTTTTTTTTTTAATTGGAGTATAACTGCTTCACAATGTTGCGCTGGTTTCTGCCATACAACAACATGAATCAGTCATTGGTATGTGTGTGTGTGTGTATATATCTTTATATATATGTGTGTGTGTGTTTCCCCTCCCTCTTGAACTTCCCTCCCACCCCAACCCCATCCCACCACTCTAGGTTGTCACAGGGCATGGGGTTGAGTTCCCTGTATTATATAGCAACTTCCCATTAGCTACCTGTTTTGCATATGGTAATGTATGTTTCAAAGCTACTCTCTCAATTCATCCCACCCTCTCCTTCCCCCACTGTGTGTGGACCTACTTTTTAAAGAAGACTTTCTCCTACTGCACTGTACCCCAATAATGTATGGCTTATGCAGTACTAATCAACAAATGCTAACTATTCTTCCTACTCCATTTCACCTGATGGTAAAAAATTATTAACAAGTAAAACTTCACAAAGAAGGAAAAGACAGGTGTTTCTACCTAAAAAGAAAAACATATTTAAAAAATATATAAGTGGTATGACTGAAAGACACTTTAGAGCAGGAACACAATATAGCTACATGGATTGGTAGAAGGGATCCTGAAGAGATCTAGGTTAAACAATTCATCTTAGAGATGGGAAAACTGAGACCATAACTACACAGTGATTGTCAAGATCACCAGTTCATACCACAGCTGAGACTAGTAGCCCAGCATGACTTACAATCCCATGTTCATCCCACTATAGGATCCCAGCTATGTGACTTTCCCCCCTAAATCATGACTGTAGTGAAACCGACATACTATTTTTTCAATGTTAGAATGCTATCTCAACAGCATCTCCTGAATTCCTAAAAGCTGAGAACAAGGTTCTGAGAACCCTGAGAACAAGGGTTACTATCTCATTTACTTTCCTAGAAGTTGTCTTGAATTCTTCACATTCTCTTAAGCACTGGGAGATGCCTTGAGCACTTTGTGATCTACTGGTTCCTAGAATCATGGTCCAAGATGTCATTCAACAAAGTAACCACCACTGCAGCCCAGGGCTGTGAACAATCAGGACAAGCAGGCCAGCCCCAGGCTCACTCACAAGAACACTGTACAACAGAGTTTACAGCCTGATGTTAACGTCCAAGTAGTTCACATATGGATACAGTCCTTATAGAGCATCCCTAATAATGCAAAGTTGTGAAGGAAGAAGATGAGAAAAAGAAAAAGGACTAAAAAAGGAAGATGAGAAGAAGGATTTAAAAAGGAAGTTCAAAATGGAGGAGAAAGAAAAAAGAGAAAGAAATGACCTTTGAGCCTAAGCAAGGTAGCTGTGGAGCAAAAGGTTCTTGGAAGGTGCTAGAAGTGGTCCCCAGGAAAACCGGGGCAACAGTCCCTTAGAGTCAAGCTTCAAAATGAGGCCTGATATTTTCCAGTAGTGCAGGAAAACATTCTGGTCAAAAAAAAAAAAAAAACAACCACACACACACAAAGACATACACACTAAACAAAAACAAAAACCCACTTCAAAGCGTATTTCTTGAAGAGTTGGCGCCAACTGCAAACCATGGAAAAGTTAGCTTTACGCTTTGAGATTTATAAACAACTCATTCAAATTTATAATTAATATCTGACCCAACAGCTGGATTTACTCTCACTCAAGTCAAGGCCAATCTTCCAAATGAGCCAGCTGTAGAGGTGCCTCAAGTATTACACGGTCACCAGGGTTCCCGTGGAAACAGACTGTGGTCAAGTGTGAGGAATTAAGAGCTTTTAAACACTGCCTTCCGATGAGCCATATTTCATGGACTGCTTTTGTCACAGGACATCTTAGCCCTCTGATGGCACAGAGGAAACATGCATCCATCAGCAGGAGAAAGGAGTGATTCAGCTTACACGCTCCAAGAGTCGGCCTCTTCTCTGGTTTTATCCTTATCCACTCTCTTAATACAGAAAATTAAACCACTGGCTTGAGGTTCCCATGGTGCTCTCAACCAGGTAATAGTAGCTTGACAAAATAAAGAAATGGTCTCTGCCTCATGGGGCCTAGTGTGTGTGTGTGTGTGTGTGTGTGTGTGTGTGTGTGTGTGTTGGGTGTGTGTGTGTGTGTGGTGTGTGTGTGTGTTGGGTGTGTGTGTGTGTGTGTGGTGTGTGTGGTGTGTGTGTGTGTGTGTGTTGGGTGTGTGTGTGTGTGTGTGGTGTGTGTGTGTGTGTGTGTGTGTGTTGGGTGGGTGTGTGTGTGTGTGTGTGTTGGGTGTGTGTGTGTGTGTGGTGTGTGTGTGTGTGTGTGTGTGTGTGTTGGGTGGGTGGGTGGGTGTGTGTGTGGTGTGTGTGTGTGTGTGTGTGTGTGTGTGTGTGGTGTGTGTGTGTGTGTGTGTGTGTGTGTGTGTGTGTGTGTGTGTGTGTGTGTCTTCCCTGGCGGCTCAGAAGGTAAAGAATCTGCCTGCAATGTGGGAGACCTAGGTTTGATTCTGGGTCAGGAAGATCCCCTGGAGAAGGGAATGGTAACCCACTCCAGTTTTCTTGCCTGGAAAAACCCTATAGACAGAGGAGCCTGGTGGGCTACAGTCCATGGGGTCACAAAGAACTGAACATGACTGAGCAACTAACACTTTATATATATAATATGCATATTATATCTATACAGAGTTGGCCAAAATGTTCATTTGGGGTTTTCCATAAGCTGTAACAGAAAATCCTGAATGAACTTCTTGGCCAACCCCAATATATTATAATGTACTTTGTACCAGTGGGGATTAGATTGCTTTAAGTCTTATTCTGTATGTTTAAGACAGCCAATCAGGTAATTATTTTAAGCTTTAGCTGGTTCATTGGTAAAAGGAGAAAAGCATCTTTTCCCTGGTCAACCCTGAAAACCTGCCAGAAATTAAATGAGGCCAGATAAGAAGAGGTGTGGGGGGTAGGGGTTGTACTTACATGTTTTACTACAGGAGGCAACCTCCTACAGGATGGAGACTAACCTATTTGAAATGAACCATGATGGCGGCAGAGTTGGGGGAGAGGGCCTTACATTCTGAGAAGAGGAAGTTGGATTTGATCCAGGACAAAGTAATCACAGGTTCTTAAGCAAAGAAATGGCAAAGGACTCAACAAGCGGCAAGAGGGCCATATTCTGAAGCCCATGGTCCATCTGGATGCCCACTCATGGCTCTGGAAATCCCAGGCCCCATGAAGCTGAATAATGGACTGGGAAATTTCCACATCTCTCAAGTTCTCTCCTAATCTACGGAATGCCCAGTCCTGTGGCCAAAGTTCTGGGCAGGAACCCCTGAGGTCAACAGGCAAAGTCCTAAGAACATCATGTTACTCTTCCCTCCTCTGTCTGCCATCCACATAGCTTCTCATCCCAGAAAACACCTACCTGTTTTGTTCTCTGGAAAACCATCCCCGTACACCCAAGCCAACCCATGTCATCCCCATAGCCATGACCAGGGTCATGAAAACAACCTCTTCTTCAAATGTGCCAGCTCTCTTGAAGCACCCACTAAATGCAATCACACCCCACTCCCCACTGATTTTAAAAGCATACAGCTTTAACAAGAAGATGTTGCCATATTTCCTATTGTATATTAAATGATGTATTAACAAGCACATGATGAGGCAATAATAACAGCCCTTTAGAACAGGTCAGCATTAGATCTCATTGTTTTAAAACAGCTTTATTGAGATATAATTTGTATACCATAAAGTTCACCCTTTTTAGGTGTCTAAGTTAACAATTTTTCAGTAAATTCAGAGTTATGCAAACACCACCACAATCCAGTTTTAGAATATTTCCATCACCCCAACAAGGTCCCTCATGGCCATTTGCAGTCAACCTCCTTTCCCACTCCCAGCCCCAGGAAAGCAATAGTCTCCATCTGTCTCTACAGATTTGCATTATATAGACAATTCATGGAAATGCAATTATACAAACTAAATTTTAAGCTCTGTAAGAATAGGCAGGAAGCAGAATGAACTGTGGAGCCAGACTGCCTCAGTTCAATTCCCTGCTCTCTCATTTACTAGCTGCGTGAATTTGGGTAAGTTATTAAGTTTATCCCTGCCTCGGTTTTCTCATCAGCAAAATGGGATAACAACTATACTTACCTCTTGGAGTCATGAGATTTAACTGTTACCATATACCTGGCACGTAGGGAACACTCTCTATATGTCATCCATGACTACCTTACATATAACTAACTTTTCATTTGACTCTCAAAATTCCAGTGGAAGGAGGCAGAACAGATATGAGTTGCTTTTACATACAGGAACCAGTGGTCAGGACACACGGCAAAGCCAATTGGCAAAGCCAATGCATGCTTCTCAACCTGTAAGACTTCCAAAAGTAACCCTAGTTCAACTCTTGGGTCCCCGTTATTGTATCCTTTGTCTAAGGCTGCTGCCACTTTCTTGGCGATGACATGTTTCTACTTACCGAAGCTGGGACTGCAGCTTTCCAGCTTTGTTAATGAAATCTTCCCAAACCGGATAGCTCCCCTACAACAAAACAAAGCCATCGATCAGTAAGTCCAGTGTGATAGATATCTGATGAAGACACTGATAACACACCCAACTCCAATGATAGGTGGGTCCAAATTCTAAATATGTGGAACCTGTAAGACTCTACCCTGAACCACCTGATCATGACTCTGGCTGCTCTCCTCCTTATCCCAGAAGGCAGGGAGGGGGGAACCAGAGTGTTTGCAGCTCCTCTCCAGGACAGGAGGCTACTGGCAAGCATTAGACGGTAAGGAATCCTCCTGCAATGTGGGAGACCTGGGTTCGATCCCTGGGTTGGGAAGATCCCCTGGAGGAGGGCATGGCAACCCACTCCAGTATTCTTGCCTGGAGAATCCCATGGACAGAGAAGCCTGGCGGGTTACAGTCCATGGGGTTGCAAAGAGTTGGACACGACTGAGCAACTAAGCATACAGCACAGCGTTAGTCTAGCAGAATCTCAAGGTTTGGAAGTTACCTAAATATAGCTGCTGAGCTGATGGCTTGGGACCAGCATCTACATACCACACGGTTACAGGTGGCTCCCCAGCGTATTGCAGCTAACAGGACACTCGCCACCCTCCATGGCAACCTATCTACATCAGCCAAGCTTTCCTTTCTATCCACGCAGTCTTACTTCTAACCTAGGAATCCACAGAGTTAAATCAATCCTGCTTCCACATCTGTCTTTTCAAAGAACTAAGGACAGCCAGCACATTCATTCACAGCATTCCTTCTTTCAGCTCCCAACCACAACTCCACTTCTACATGGGACCCTGTCTCACATCCCTGCAGGGTCTTGGGGATATTCCATCACATGTCTCTACTCTTCTAAGTATGGTATGTGTATGTGCTTAGTCGCTCAGTCGTGTCTGACTCCTTGCAACCCTATGGACTGTAGCCCACCAGGTTCCTCTGGCCATGGGATTCTCCCGGCAGGAATACTGGAGTGGGTTGCCATTCCCTTCTCCAGGGAATCTTCCCAACCTAGGGATCGAACCCAGGTCTCCAGCAACGCAGATGGATTCTTTACCATCTGAGTCACCAGGGAAGCCCTCTAAGTATGGTGCTTGAGACAAACTCTAAACTGCAGAAGCAGTTCTGGCTGGGGCAAACCAGAGTGGGGTCTTACATAACACATTAAAAGGATACTAAGATTAAGTAACCAACTAAAAGTCAATGCAAAATAAACCCAGAGAAGAGGAAACCATGGTTAGAGAAGCAGTGTCTGGCACCAGATCATTTAAACATAGAACTCAATGGACACAAATTTGAACAAACTCCAACAGACAGTGAAGGACAGTCAAGCCTGGCATGCTGCAGTGTATGGGGCCGCAAAGAGTTGGACATGACTTAACAACTGGACAACAACAAGATCAGGTAGCCAACTAAGAGTCAATGCAAAATAAACCCAGAGAAGAGGAAGCCACGGTTGGAGAAGCAGTGTTTGGCACTGAATCATTTAGACATAGAACTAACCCTAAACACCTGGCGGATTACGGCTGTAGGATAGAATATAAATGTTATGAACCTCGACAAGGTAAAAATAACATGACACCTCTTGATTTTGTCATTAAGAAGAGAGGATGGAGAAACTGTAATACAGTGAATCATCTCATTTTTTTATTATAGAAGCTCCACCAATCCCCAGGGAGCAGGGAGCATAGAACAGTAGGGTCTTCTGTGGGAGCTGTGGACTTCTGTAAATACACTAAAATCTTCCAATTAAAGCTATGCCTAGGGAAAAAAAAAAAGAAAAAATAAGTCCCATCAAAATAGACTAAAAACTGAAATTGAGTTAAAACATAACGATTTCAGCTTTCTAATTTTTTCCCCTAATAATTTTAATAACATCTTTCCGCTTACTCTTTATTTCAGTTATTATTTATTTTTATTGAAATATAGTTGATTTATAATACTTTGTCTTTTTTTTAATTTTAAATTTATTTTTTAATTGAAGGATAACTGTTTTACAGAATTTTGTTGGTTTCTGCCAAACATCAACATGAATCAGCCACAGGTATACATATGTCTCCTCCTTCATGAACCTCCCTCCCACCTCCCACCCCATCCCACCCATCTAGGTTGTTACAGAGCCCTGGTTTGAATTCCCTGAGTCTCACAGCAAATTCCCATTGGCTATCTATTTACAGGTAATGTATGTTTCCAGGTTACTCTCTCCATACATCCCCTTACTCTTAAGAGCACACTTTCTTAATCTTGCCACCACTGACATTTTGAGCTAGATAATTTTTTTTTTTTTGTCAAGATGGAGGTGGGGGGCTGTCTTGCGCATTACAGGATATTCAGCAGCTGCTCCAACCTCCATTCACTAGACGTCAGTAACATTCACAGATGTCACTGGATATGACAAAGTGCCCCCAGACATTGTTCCTACAGGGCAAAATCACCCCTGGTGAAGAACCACTGCTTCAGAGGAATGTCTGAGAAATGAGTTTCTTCTGGTGAAGAAACAGTTATCTGAAGCTCAGCAATTTCTTCAGTATTACTTAATTTCAATTTCAGTTCTCTTAAAGTAATTAAATAATTTTTACTTTGAAAATATCTTGCACAGAATATCTGTTCTAAAAGTGTGTTCATTTACATATTTTGAGTCTTCTGGACAGCAAGAGGATCAAACCAGTCAATTCTAAAGGAAATCAACCATGAATATTCACTGGAAGGACAGATGCTGAAGCTCCAATACTTTGGCCACCTGATGCAAAGAGCCAACTCATTGGAAAAGACTCCGATGCTAGGAAAGATTGAAGGCAGGTGGAGAAGGGGATGACAGAGGATGAGATGATTGGATGGCATCACCGACTTGATGGACATGAGTTTGAGCAAGCTCCGGGAGTTGTTGATGGACAGGGAAGCCTGGCTGCTGCAGTCCACGGCGTCACAAAGAATTAGACATGAGTGGCTGAACAACAATATATTTCTCGCGCTATCAAGTCTGTCTGAAAACGTGCAGAGATGTCAGGAAAACCATCTACCAAACATTAAAATGGAATATTTCTGGGAGCTGAGATTTGGACCAATGTGTTGTTTTCCTGTGTGTACTTTCCTCCATGGCTATAGTTTCCTGGGGTTTTTTTTGTTTTTTTTTTTTAATAAGGGTCATACATCATTTTTATGAAAACAATGTAGTCACCACTACACTTAAAAAAATTTAAGATCAAATTAGCAGTTCTGGCAATAACAGCACTGTGAATTTACAATCCACACAGCCCCTAAAGTCTGTTTCACCTGGGCTGGTAGATCACATCCATCACTTCTGCATCTGTGCACTGGGGACCTGCTTGGCCCAACTGCACACTCTGGATTTATTCCTCCAAGTGGCAATGTGCTCCCATGGGACGCTGAGCTACACCAGGCCAGGGATTCTGCCTAACTGGCTCCTGGCAGCAGTTCTTTGGCATCTACATCTGAGCTACTGACACCAACACTCACGTACATGTCTGGTCATCATCTGCTAAACCACTTCGCCTCCATCCCATCTCTGTGCCCCAGGGGGTCTCTTCAACCCAAGAGTATAACTTTACTTGCTTTGAATGAAACCTCTAAGGGCTCAGGCTACCTTTCCAGGTCCATGAAGACATTATGGGAAATCCCACCTATAGCATTTACCATTTTGTTATCAATACCAAATATGAACATGCCTTCTATTAATATATCTACATCCAGGTAATTAGGGGTATGGACCAAGATCAGAGTCCTCTGGCTGGGCACTAGAGATCTCTGTTCAGATGGACTTCAGCATCCTTCAGAACATGAGAGCATTACCAACCAATTACAGCCCCATCTAGCCAGTCCTTCTCTTTCTGGTCGACAAGACAGCATGAGAAGCTTTACAAAAAGCCTGAGTTCACAGACACTGAGCATCAACTTCTAGTCAAAGAAACTATCATCTCTCATCTGCACATAGAAGGAGATGAGAACTAGGTCCTCCTCTCTCTAGCACCAACCACTCCTATCCATGGAACCCCAGCAGAAGGTCACTGAGATGATCCACAGCATTTAAGAAAAGGGTGAGACATATTCAGCAAGAACATACCAGAACGGCAGGATCCATGTGCGGCAGGATCCATGTGCAGGAGCACCAAATCCTGAGTTCTAGCCATGGCCCTGGCAGTGAACTATGTGGGGGGAAGTCACTTGACCTCTCAGGTCAGCTCTTTAAAATGATCAACAATAAAATGATCAACAATAAAAAGTTATAATTCCATCACCATTATTGAACACTGACATCACGCAACACTGAAAGAATGTAGGGAAGAAATAAGGAACACAAATGCCGGAGGCCAGTCTGCTGGCTAGAATCTGAGCTCTCTGACCTGCCGCATGACGGCAGGCAGGTAGTCCAACCTTGGCATGGGTCAGTCACCACTACCCCAGGTTGGTGCAAGGAGGAAGTGAGGTCAGTCATCCCAAGTGCCCAGAGCAATGCTGGGCATTCTGTAAGGGCTCAGTAACCTTTGACAGGTTTGATCAAAGCATCTGCAGGCTCCCAACAATCTCCTTTGGGGTGCTGAGAGAGATGTTTACAACTCTCCAGGTTGGGACTTCCCTGGGTGTCCAGTGGTTAAGACTCTGTGCCCCCACTGCAAGGGGGTGGGGGTTCAATTCCTGGTCTGGGAACTAAGATCCCACAAACTATGCAGTGTGGCCAAATAAAAAAAAAACTCCTGAGTCAGACGGTCCACACAGGCTGGAATCCCTCATTCTCAATCCTAAGAACAGCCCTGAACATGCATCCTACTCTGAGTTCACCTTAGTTAAAACAGACATGGAAAGAGACAGCAGGACACACAGGGTCAGTGTCTCTGCCATTCCTAGTACAAGGCAGATGGAGCACTCAAACCCCAGACAAATGTGCCTGAAAACCACTAGAGCCACTTTAAAAATGACTTACCTGCCCCCACCTGGAGCCTCATTTCAGTCTTTACCAAATTAGCAACAAAAGGAGGGTCCCTGCTGCAATTAGGGGGTACAGCACC